TCATTAAAATTGCGAAAAAAATCTTTGAAATACGAGCACCTCTTTTTTGACCCTTAATATCAGGATAACTCTCGTAAAATTCAATATTATGAACTCAATTTTTTACTGAAGACTATCCAAAGTCAGACACATATTCAGTAAAAATTTTACTAAGATTGAGTGCTCTGGAAAAAAAATAGATTTTTGACCCGGGGGGCCCTTAAGTAAGAAAAGATCTAAATACCAAATGTTATCCAAAACATTTTTGCAACTTCCATTCTCTCCAAATGTATCTCTCTCATCAAAAGTATTTTTTTTTCACTAAAACAGAGAACGTTTGCAATTATGTATTATATAGAGAGACTAGAAGTGTTTTTACTGCTCTTTGGAATGGAATATGATGAATTATCTTTTGCTCTATGTTTTAAATAGAAATTCGAAAGTTTTCATTTGTTTTTAGAAAAAGAGTTGATCAGATTCAATTAATAATTTTCATATACTAAATGGAAGTTGTTCTTTTATTTAAACACATTTTCTGAAACAGCATAAAATTCTCTACAAACTCACATTAGTTTTAATTTTTACTGACATATCTTGAGTCCTGAATAAACTAATTTTCTCAATATCGTGCCTTTCTCATGCATAGAGCTTTCTACAAGACTAAGTTTTACAATATGATTTTTTTATGATTAAGGAGTTAATGAGAACTTTTCGACAGCAAATGGCTCGATACAGTTTTGCATGGGCTACATTCTCATCTATTTAGTTTTCAAAAATGCTCAGGTTGCAGCAAAAAATTAATAAAGAAAAAGTGCATTGGAAAAGCTTTTTCGGTTACGTTTGGTATTTACATCTTTTCTCATTTAAACTCAATTACAAAATTTTGTTTTCTATGTTCTTTGAAGTTCAGACTTTCAACGAAAAAATAATTAACTCTTCAACATATCGGGAACATGCAGAAATAATGTTCGATTTTTTTTTGCAGAAAGTTTTGTAACATCCGTTAGGAGAGTAGAACATTGTTCAGTTAGCTGACTTGCTGCTACGTTCGATAAGATAGGACTCGATATCGTTTTAAAAATGTAGAAAATTATAACTGAACAGTATGTTTATATCAAATACATTTTAAAGAGAATATTTAACTTAAAAAAGACATTTTTCAACCGCTAGTCGAGTCAGTTTGTTTTAGAAACGAAAATAGTACATTTTAGTTTATTTTTCCCGCATCTTGAAAGATATGTATAGAAATAGTAAGATTTTGTAATTTAAGCATTGAAGATTGTTCGAACAGTATATTGCAAGACGAAATTTGCTTCAAATATTGGATAATACTCATCTCTCACATTGCAATGTAAGCATGTTTGGCTTTTTAACTTTTTTTTAGTACAAATGTTATTGCATTATATGTACACTACAATAAATGTGTTCAAATGTATACTTTTTCGAGAACAAATACATCTTATCTTACTTCCATGTATGTTTTAGATCTTGTCATTATTAAAACCTTATGATGATTTGTTAAGGGTACCTCCTACCCTCTTTTTTTACCCTCTTGGAAACTAGGAAAACCGATGTTCGATCGAATTCTGATTTATACCAGAGACAGAACATCGATGATAGAAAATCGATGTATTTTTACCCAGAATTTTCTGATGTGTTCTTCTATGGGTTTTCTGGAAAACTCCACTGTTCATTGGCACATTACGGCTTCCCGAAAAAATGGTCCGATCGAGCTCAAAATTTTACTACAGACACTTCAGACCCTATCTCAGGTTCGTTTTTTCATTTCGAAAAATCTTTTTCCCTTCTCGAGATATCCGAAAAATATTGAAAATCTCATATAAAAAATTGGTTTTCATTTTGAAAATCTTCTCATGTCGAAAGTTGAAGTCGAAAATGCTTTGAAAAAAAATGAACCTGAGATAGGGTGTGAAGTATCTGTGGTCAAATTTTGAGCTCGAGCGGATCATTTTTCGAGGGGTTGTAATGTGTGCCAGTTGAAGGGACTATTGAAAAAACGTATAGTGAGAAAAACACATTGTACACAGGGCTCTGTTTTTCAGGGTATTTGCGGCTATGCTTATATCTCTAAGAAAACTCATCAGAGGTTTCTGGAAAACATCTCATTTTGACGAGCACACTTTCTTCTATCATGCTATATATAAGAAAAAACTTTGAATATATAGGAAACGAGAGAAAAATTTACGAACCTAAAAAATCTTAATTTTTTAGGCTTTGAAGGAAAAACTTAAAACCTTCATAATTTTTTCAAGGAAGGTCATGGAGAGCTGGGAGTGCTCTCATTTTATAGCCGAGACTTTCCTGTACATCAGATTATATTCAGCTCAAAATGACAACTTTTCTGCAAAAAAGAGGTGGGAGGGGGATACCCTTAATGTATCCCATATTGTCCATGACAAAATTCAGAGCTAATAGCACAGAACGAATTAAAACACACTCCATAAGATCAAATCAATTGTTTATAGTTCACTAAACAGCACTACCGTCACATACACACACATCCGAACGATCTCCTATTAACTACTTTAGAAATATTTTTGTAGATTATTTTTTCTTGGATACTTTGCTCATAATGTGGGTGTACAATTGGGTACTAAGAGTGAGTAAATCCACAATATTTCACGCGTCCAGGAGCATCGGAAGATTTCGTCTTTTACGTTAATCCAGATACTTGTAATAAGTAATCGTACAATAGTTAAAAGTTTTAGACTTTAGTGAACTGAGTTAAACGCATCATATTGTCGTTTATAATCCATACTTTACTAAATACTTTATTCTAGCGAAAATTCGAAATGTACTGACTAGTCTATCTAGAATTTTGAGCATTGCTATGTATCGATACGATGAAATTGGACAAATGAAATAAAACTGTAGAGAGAAAATTTTTCACACTTGTCAAACTTGTTTATTTATTTTCTAAGACTTTGTGGAATAGAGATGTTTGGGTACCATATTCAAATTAATTATTAGACATGTGCACGGATATGATTTATAAACCTTATCTGACGCGCACTCAACAATACAAAAGATGCATGGAACTGACAAGAAAATATTTGTTTCGTATCTTCAGAATGGAATTATGAATATCATATTAAATATTTACGCCATTGTCTGCCGTATACTCTCATATCGACAGATTTTCGGCGGGTATCGTTTAATGAAAATGCCTACGTAAAATCTCATACATCTATATCGTTAGGTTTTAGACTGAAAAATGAAGATGATGTAACAATTATCTTCACAGCAATTATATATAGTTTCTTATTTGATTATTGTCTTATTGATGACGAAATCAAATTAGTGACAGTAGTTTTTCACTGAAAATGAAACAAATGTTAGTATAAAAGCACGCATCAGATTAGAGAGGGTTGAGCTAACTTGAGTTGAGGGATAAATTGTTCTCTGAAGAACTCATTTTTTAAGAACTACCAAAAAATCACGAAAGGAAGCACTTTTTTTCCTTGGCCGTTAGATCAAGAGAAGATTTCAACAAAAGCAAAAAACGATCATACAGCTCGCAAGAAAAATGTTTGTTTGTTTATTTTTTTTAGTTTATAAAAGGTGGTCGTTATTACCATTTGATCGCAATCATCGCCTCTCCTCAATTTGCTCCGATATACACATTTTCATGAATAACTATTTACTGGACTGTGGATTTTTGTTCTCTGAAGAACAAAAATATGATTTATGTTCTTCAGAAAGCTGAGAAACAAAAATTATATTCTCTGAAGAACACGAATTCGTTTTTTGTTCTTTATAAAAATGAAGAACTAATTTTTTGAAGAACAAAAACGCGAAAATAGGCTGAAGAACATATATTCTGTTCTTCAGTTTTCAAAGAACACATTCGTGTTCTTCACCATGTTCTCCAAAGAACGGAAGAACACAGATTTCTAACAGTGTAGCATATAACAGGGCTCCTAATAAGATGAAATGATTTCTAAGACAAAATTTAGTCTAATTTGTTGTTACATTACTAATTAAAACACCACTATAGTTTTGCAGTCACAGTTAGTTGAACAATAAATTTTTTTCTTTTTCGTTTATCTCTCGGGTAGTTAGTGTGAATATCAGTGAGAGAAGATAAAATTGCCACGTGCACCACCACTTCAGCATTTTACATATAAAAGAAGAAAATTAATCGTTGAAAATGAGGAATGAAGAAAAACAAATCACTGAACTTACATCCATGCGTATTTTGTTGCTTCAAAATAGATGCCATAGTACGGAAAAATTGGCTACTATATTATTTTATAACTAGACTTGATTGTACTCGACAGTCAGATGCGTATGAACATTATCCAATGTTCTGAAATCTGTTTTTGAGGTCAAAGATGATCATAGAATAGCTATTATTGATAGTTTAGATAATGTAACTTGTAACCGGTGTAATAACTTTTTTTTGGTATTTTCGTGTAGATAATTGAAATATGTCTAATGTTGCTCCGTATGAATATGATGAGTCTCAATTTCAAAGTTATATTGATGAAGATTTAGCTTTAATTCGAGATACAATCATCTGGAAAGAATACAAACGAAGTAAAAATGATGACGCTATTTGTTATACACACAAGGTAGACGGTGATCCAATATGGTGGATCAAAGTTGTTGCCAATGTTACAAATGGTATAATTGATAATGTTGATGATTTACTCGATGCAAGTTTGAAAGAGCGACAAGCACAATGGCATGAACTGTATGTTGATGGAGGAACAATTCATCGTTATTCAGATACGGCTGAAATATGTTATTTCAAATATTCATCACCGATTAAACTTGTGTCACCAAGAGATACGTGCTATTTGAAAATACGTCGTCCTTTATCATTTCAAAGTGAAACACGTGACTATCGTGGTTTTATTCTGAGTTATCGTTCAATCTCGTTGCCTTGTCGTGCACCAGTTGCACATGGATACGTTCGAACAGTATTCAAAGGTGCTCATCTAATTGAAGAGCTAGTTGATGGATTTCGTTATACATACATTCAACATGCTGATCCAGGCGGAAGTCTGCCAAAAATGTTTGCTAATCGACCACAATGTGATATTGTGTTAAAAGAAGTTGAAGGTATAAGAAAAGCGATACAAAATCCTATATTAAAACCAAACGATCTGCTAGTGCATCGAGAAATTGGAACGTCTGACCTATCTAATAAGAATATTGTCAAATAATACTTCGATATATGATACTTGTTTGACAAAGTTTTTATACACTTTGCAATGGCAGATCATCGAAAGCTAAGAAGAAATCAGCGAGCTATTTTAAAACTTCAAAACTTTTCCAGCTGATATATCTACTCGTTATCGCTGTGACATTTGTTTTGAGTTGTGCCAATTTAACAAACGATGCATAAAGGGTGGACCACTTTTCTTTTCTTTGTTTTGAGACACTGAAATAAAGTTTTAACATTCCATTCTAGGCTAACAAGGTAGACAATTTGATACTCTCTAAAACTCTGTTTTTCTATATACACGACTAATATGTTAATAGGACATAGACAGAGTTTAGTCACAGCAGGTAAAAAGTTAAACAACTACGATAAGAAGAGACTATATTCGTGAGTCTACCGTACCCGACTAACTCCTTTAGCATGTTATAGGAATTTTTATATTATACATACTATACAATGACAATTAAAAATTCACATCGTTTAATAATTCGTTGTTGAGAAACAAAATACAACATATGACTCGAAAACGTTTTTAGATAATTTCTTCTACATATCGTACGATTTCACAAGCTCATTTCAACATGAAACGATACAGAATTTTTTGCGCTACGAAATCCACTGTGTGATACCTTTTAAGGGGGAGGTTGTTCCACCCTTTCGACCAGTTTATGGAGCACACTTTAAAACATATACTTCAAACCTTTTTTGATTTCAGGATTCGTAGTTTTTTGCGAAAATATTTTTTTAAGTTCCGCATAGAGCTTTTGCCCAATTTTTAAAATTTCCATTAATATTTCATTTTTCGAGATAGAACCTTGCATCTTTCGTTATTGGAGAGAGCACATTGAGATCTATATAAAAAACAATTTTCGTCGTTATCGGATGAAATTTGACGGAGAAACTTGACTTCGGTTTGCTCATACTATTTTCAGTGCAAAAAGTACTTTAAGCAAACCTTGAACAGCGTTTCGCTTTAGGAAAGCATTATGGAACAAAAGTGTGGGAACAATAATTGTTCAGCATCAAATTCTGCGTGAAACAACCGAAGGAATTTTCGAAATATCTTAAACTCGATTGTTAAAGTCCAAAATACTGGTTGTTAAAGTTCGAATTTTCGTAAAATTTAATTTAAACATTGAGTTTTACGAGTTTCAAAAATTCCTTCGGTTGTTTCACGCAGAATTTGATGCTGAACAATTTTTGTTTCCACACTTTTGTCCACAATGCTTTCCTGAAGTGAAACGCTGTTCAAGGCGTCCATACCTCACGGTTCGCGACATATAAAAGCAACGTGATTGACTATTCTACTCCCTATGAGCACAAATATGTCATTTATTTTAGAATATAGAAGTTTTTTAATGGTACAGTATGATAAAGCAAACAAAAGAGCTCAAAAATGTTGTCACTAATGTGCTCCTGGTCCATATTCAGATGTATCACGTTTTGCTCTTGGTGATTTTATTGAGCATGTTTTTTTTGCTCTTCTAGACGGTACGGCTCCCCTCCTCTTTCATCAGTTCAATATCATTCTTTTTGAGAATTTGGCGTTTTGAACACCATTAGCTTTAGAAAAACGCAATTTTCAGATTTGAGAAGCTTTATAACAGATCAAGGTTCTGTATTTTCAGAATTCTTCAAAACCAAAAGTAGATATAAAGAAATTTTGCTATTTTTTTCGATTTTGTCAAAATATCAACTGGGGCTACGAATGCTCCGTTTGCATTGTGTAAAATGACAACTGTATCTGTTTTTTTCGTGAAGAGATAGAGACATTAGAACCGCCGTTCGATGCACAACAAAAGTATGTTTCGTTTTTGTTCTTAGGATTTTTCTCCGCTGACATGTAACAGCTGCTATACGAACACCTGCAGATCCTTCAACTGATTTCTAACAAAAAATTCATTTTTCATTCAAACTTCGTCGAAATACATCTGTTCATACACTATTCGATGCGTCTTGAAAAGCTCTACAATATGTGGTCATAGCAAACTTAACAGAGTCTGGCAGCAAGTTTTATTAATTTAATACTAGATTTTTTCATAGGTCGTGGATATACCAATAGACTTCTTCTTTCACTTTTTTCTATCAGACTAAAGAGGACCTCTACTCATTCATACATCATTCGATGCGCCTTGAAATGCTCTACAATATGTGTTAATAGGAAACTTAACCAAGCTTGGCAGCGGTTTCGGGATATTAAATACTGCCCCGCTTAATCCTATAGTAGGTCCAAAAATTGTTCGCCACCTTTATTTTTAATTTTTCCGGTCGAGATAACAGCCAGAAAAAATTTAAAAAAGGATTTGAATAGCTGAAAGAATTTCGGACCTGAAGTGCTGTATAAAAAGGATCTATCAATACTCTTGAAACTAGGGTCTCTGGAAAACCCAAATCTCAGAGAACGAAGCACCCCAGTTCAGCCCGGAAATTCTTTGCAAATAACTATGTCATGTAGAGCAAACATTTCTGAAGAAAATGTGACGTCTCCGAGCTCTTTACGACATTGTTTCTTCAACCAGCATTTAATTTACGAAAGGCCCCATACCAGCAAAACTAACGGGAAAAACAAGAAGATACGCGCTTAGGGCCTTCCATAAGGGAAACAGTCATCAATTTTTTATTTATTTACATAATTATTCAGATGTGACTGAATTTGTTCTTTTTTTATATTTAGAACAAAACAATGAATATTTTTTCAAAGATCATCAACTATAGTCAAGAGACTCAATAACAGCGACAACATTCAGTACAAAATGAACATCAAATATTGCATTATGAGAGAGATTGAAAAATCGACTTTTTTTGCGCCAGACGGATCGAGCTGAAATTTTGAGAAATGAATTATGATTATTAGTTACACATTTTGTGAAAGTTTCATCTTTACACATATGATGG